GAGCCCTTGCATAGCTGGCACAGTTATAACTGGTTAAGAATAATAAACTGTTTATTTTCACACATAACATATTTACAGACTGTACACGTGGGTGATCTCCTCCGCATTCGTGGTACAGGCAAACAAACATGGACCAGAAAACAACGGAGTGCCGCGATAAGGATATAGACATCCAATGGTATACAAAAAGCGACGAATACTTTCCGGCGATTAAAAGTGATAAACTTTGGTGAAATTATGTATTATTTTACAGTTCTAATAAAAAAAACTCAACACATAGCGAAATGGTATAACATTATTTTACAGACGCTCTTGGGTTAATGCATCGACATTTATTACATTATTTATCTAACATGACAAAAAAAAATAATATTTCAAAATCCATTGTTTCAATCAAACTTGATACATATGTGAACATTTCACTGACGTGATTATTTTTGCTGGATGCATTATAATTGATTTTTTAGTTTATATTCGAATAATAGTGGGAATGTACAATAACATGTATAGGATAATATAAAGTGTTTACTTTTGATGTTGTCAACTTTGATACTGTTGCTCACTACTTTATGATTAACAAACAACCAAGCTATATTCAAATGTTATATTTTCCATAATTATTTGACGCTTTCTATTCTCTTCTTCCAAAGTTTTTTTATTGTCTACAGAGTTGTTTCACTTTGCCACAATTGGCAATAATCATGTTTTACAGACGTATGGCAGTGCAATAAAGTGCATATATGAATCCGTGCTAAATAATTTAATTTATTGCAAGCCAGGGATATCAAAATTGAACCTATCTATTGGTAGTTTACATGTAAGCCAGAATATCCCCACGTTCCCAGTGAGCATTGTGGGCTGGCTTTAACACACCGCTTACATGTCAGGATGTTGGAGTCCTTCCATGATATAGCCACCACTTTATCCTTTTGTCTGGGTACAAACTGTCCACTCCCCAGCTACATAATCGCCTCGTGATTTATATTTATTTTTGGATTTGTACTGAGGGCATTTGGGAATCCAAAACTGTCTTGCCTCACACTGCCAACCACATATTTAATGATTTTCTAGTAGGTAATTCACCATGTCTACACTGGTATAATAACTGTCAGGGTACAGAATATGATGACCTCCCCTAATGTCAATGACAAGTCTTTCACACAGGTCCCTTGTTCTGGACACATTCCTTCTATACTGCTCATGACTACCAGTCATTGACATGATCTCAATCTTGTAGTTGTATCCATCAGCCTTAGCATGGGGTTTTCATTTGATAAAAATTGCAGGGACTCCACCATAAGGACCCTGGACCCTTGTAACCAACAATGGACCCATCTATGCAAACTTGACGGTGCATGCTGTAACATTCCCGGGACTTGATGAAGACAGCACCCAGTACTGGCTGTACTATATTATATAGAGGTGCCTCTTTTCCCCTTTCTGGGTTGTTACAGTGAAAATACTGCATCAGTTTCTGGTACCTATTGTGGCTCATGATGTTGGCAATGTAGTCATTTCTTATTGTTTGGTAGGTGGACCAGTCGTCTGCTATCTCTGGTTTTGAATCAACACCCATGATGTCAATTATACCAATCAGTGCACTTTTGTCTGCACTGCTAACAGGAGACCAGAATCTATCCCCTCCATTCTTAGTGATGCACCAGTTGGCATACCTGTTGGTTTCTTTCCATGATCTTTTCACTAGAGATGTCAGAAAGATGGCATAGAAAGTCATGTGTTTTGTCCCTTCACCCAAATCAATGTTGGGTCCAGGTGAAGGTATGTGTATGGCGTTTTTTTAGCATTGTACTCCATCCATCCATCCATCATCATCTACCCTACTACTGTCATCTTCAAATTCAGAAGTGTGCTGGTTAAGTATATACTGTTTGCCAGGTGTCTTCTACTAATTTGGCATTGTGGTTACGTAGTCTCAGACAAGTCATCTCTTCATGTTCAGATGAAAAACAACTAATTTCACTCCCTGGGGGTGGTGGGGATGGCAGTGATATGTATGATGAATTATCACCAGAAGTACTGTCATGTACTGTCATGCTTTTCAGTTCTGTACTCCCTTCTCTCTTTGCCTAAGCAATTCAATGTTTCGTTTCAAGTCACCCAACTCACTGTCAGGTCACATCAGGCCCCTGGCTTTCTGGTGGTGGTGGGAGGTCTACCTTTTCTGCAGGTGATAGTGGTTGTGCTGAGTCTACACTTTCTGCAGGTGTGTCATCAGTTTTTACTCATTTACCTGTAGTTTTACTACGTTTAGGAGCCCTAGGAGATGCATCCTCACTCCCTTAGGGATTATTTCTATATTCCTTCTCTTCTGGAAAGTTGTTTTAATGTCACTAACAATTCCCTATTTCTCCATATCCCTTTTTTCAGCTGGGCTTTTTTCCCTTCTTTTTTCGCACATTCCCAGACCTGGGTGTAAAGAGAAGCTTTTTTGCATCAGTAAGCTGTAAGGAGGACAGGTAACTTATTGACATAGTTCATGCAACGGGACCACACATGGATCAACAATGAAGGAGAAGCCACTGTTACTGACATGAAACATTTGCCCTGCAGCACCAAGCAAAATAAATGCAATGCAAAGGAATCGTGCAGAAATTATAGTAGTTCATATCAAAATTATTTGCATTCTAGCAGAGCCAACAAGTAGCTATCAATTTTACATACCGCCCCAGTAAGGATATTTGATAGTGTGGGTGAGCCAAGATACCATATAGTGTACTTGTTACAGGCATAGTTTAACTTGCATGCACTCACGGTATGCTCAGTGGTCTGATACGGTTGCTACATGCATCCATTATGTTATATTTAGTATTTCGCTTTGACTGATCAGGACTTGGCAGTTCTCAGCATGGTCTGTGTACAAGTTTCTGGCAATATAAACTAGACAAAATTCACCGGGAGAGCAGACAAAAACAGGTCGGGCAAATCAAGGGCTACTTAAAAGTTAGTAATTGGAGAAAGATGAATGATTTGACTAATTTGGGTTACCAACCACCTAGTCGACTGTTTGGCAATATTATAATCAAAATCAGGAATACTGTATCCAGACCCATTAACTGACCGATATGTATGACAAGCCAAACGTAGCAATATTATTAAAAACACATTTATATTCAATACTTTGTTTGTTCAAAAATTTATTTTATATGCATTTCACCTTTGAAATTTTAATTTTATGAATGTGGATTCGACATTTTATGAGTGAGGTTTTTTTTATGTGCAATAAGTCATGCTAGCTTAGGGATACTGAAAACATGGCAGATTCTGTTTGTGTGCAAGTATTTGTTGCAGCGACAGAAGAGTTTATGCCGCCTTCTGATGGATGGTCGACCCAGGTATATTACGTGTGTGATGGACGCCAAAGTTCTGTTATATTTGCAGTTGCTCTGGCAGGAGTTCCAAAATAAGACCCATGCTCAGATAATGCCCCTAGTTTCTAAGACCAATAAACATTTGATCATATATAATTAATGGGCTTTGCATCATGTATTTTTTTTAAACTGCTTAGCGACATACTGTAATTCATGATCTTATTAGTGTTGCATAGGATAGTTGAGAATTGTTTATTGAAATTAA